CTAGCATTAACAAGGCTTGTGCATTCAGCACTTTTTTCCCCTGTTATCACGTGACAGGCTATTTTTAATATTTGCCTGAATATATTTTGCATCTTCCTTTGATCCAGAAAGCAGTTTTATGAGGCTTGTCTGCATATTGCATTTCCCTTGCTGTGGCAGTCCAGAGCGAAGCCTTTCCATTTCACTGCAATTTCGGCATTGGCTGGTAATGGCAGGAGCACTCAGCCGTGCGTGCGTGCCTGCTGCTCCAGCAAAAGCCATGCTGAGCAGGCTGCACAGGGGACTGCCACGTGCCTAAAGCACATGGTCATGCAGGCAACAGCCATCCAGAGCCTCACGTGAGAGTCAATGTGAAGAGCAGCTCTCAGTACCAGCCTGCCTGACGGTTTAGCTGGTCATTCCCATGTTGTCACGTGGGAGAACAAAGGTCAGGAAATTCCCAGCTCCTCTGGGTGCTGGAGGTAGAGTCCTTCGACTGTAAGAAAGGGGGCTCACGCTGTGGCTCACGCAACACCTAGTAACTGCTTGTAAACAATGATTAAAGCTTAGGAGAGGATTCCACATACAAGTTGGCTGCTGGGAATGCTGCTCTTCACACTACAAAGGCTGTGCTGGAAGAGGAGGTCACGTTAAGAAACACAGGGGAAGGAAGACTGCAATAAAGGGAGTGTTGCGCACACACCCTTTTGTGGGCTGCCCCCTTCACCGAGTCATCCCCAGTATGCAGTTGAGAGGCTGGATGGAGCAAGAACAAACCTCTCCCAGTTGGCTGCTGTGCCTATCACAAACAAGAGTTAAAAAGAAAACACTGAAAACCACCCAATCACGCCTAGTGTCAATCATTACCCTTCAGGATCTATGCAAGAAGTAAAAGCTAATGGATACCGCACTCCAGATGAAGTATCTCAGCTGAATAAATAGAACATGGCATTTGATAAAATCTTTGTATTCTTGGGAGGGTGGGAGGTGTAAATACACTTCAAATTTTTAGGTTTTTGATTAATGTACCCCAAAATCTTTTTTTTTTTTTTTAAACTGAAAGTGAAGACTTGCAGATATTGCACATAGGTGCAGTTCTGCAGGAGATTACAAAACTTGCTTTTCCTTTTTTCTTTCCTTAAATAATCTTTAGCAGATCCTTTGCAAGTAGTCTAAGGCACACAGCCACCCAGGCAACACAGACTGAAAACCACTGCCATAGGAAGGCAAAGAACCAGGGAGTTTTTTCAAAGCCTCCGACAGCTCTACCCTCCTTAAGGAGCAGGGCAGGAACAACATATGCGTTATCACGGTGTCAGCAGCATCCCATGACATAACCCTACATCCAAGGCTTTGAGGTCAAACAGAAAATTCAGATCTAAACCACAAAATCCCCAAAACCTTCTAATTAGGGTCTTCCACCAGACTTAGCTGATGCTTCAGAACCCTAATTCACTCCGTTCAAACCCTTTACAGTAGCTGCCCCATTCATCCAAATTAGGGCTACACAGGTAAAAGAGCCAGGTAAAACTAACCACCAACCTGTTACCTGCAAAATACGAACCTCCCTTTACATACAAACAGCTAAAAATACTCCCAATTTCCTTAAGTACTCTGCAGTTAAGTGGAGTTCTATGTTCCACCAAAAAAATGGCAAAAGACAACACAAGGTCTGCAACAGATTAAGAAACAAGAAGTTGTGTTTGCAGTAACACATTACTTTAAAAGCTAGCTTTATAAAACCTGTTCTTCTGAGGAAGACTACAGATTTCAACCAATTAACCAGCATCCGATACAGGGAGAGAAAAAAAAAAGTTTCAAGCATGTCTACACATTACAATGGATGGTGGTCTGCAACACTAAAATAAATCAAAATACTACTTTTTATTAATAAAATTGGTACTGTGAAAAGAAATACATCAGATTCCAATCTTGCAACAGCCACTACCCTGTGTCCCTCCTATTCAAAAACAGAACCAGTATTTGCTATACGTACATTCCCTGAACAGGCATTTATAGGAAAATTGGTGCTTGCTTTATTCTTTGCTAGAGTCCAGAGAAACTGGTGAGCCTAAACATTTTTCCATCAGCCCAAACATCCAAGCTGGAAATACAGAATTAAGTTAAATTTGTAAGGAACCTTTGTGTTGGTGGTTTTTTTTTTCTTTTACCTTTAAGAAAAAAAAAAAATTCAGTGAGGGTTTGTAATGTCATGTTTACCATCAGGGTCAGTTCAGCTTTGCTGAGCCCGATGACACTTCTCAGTGAATGCCAATGCAGATTTCCAGATCTCTTCCAGAGATGGTATAAAATACATATTTGGGCAATACCACTAGCTTCTAAAGACAGACAAAGCTTGTATTTCAACATATGCACAAAAATTAAATCTTCTTATGCCACTCTTCTACAGACCCTCTGTGCCTGAGGTACACCAGGTACATACATGAGTCACATTCAGTGTTCCACGTGCACGTGTACATCATCCCCAGTACACAGCAGATGCAGGTAGAGGAGTTTTGACCAACTGCACGTGATACGCTGATGCTAAATGCTGTGGAGCCATTTAAAGTAGGTACACAAGCAGTACAGGATTTGACCCTTCCTTCAGCCACACGCTCAAACAAGCTTCCATGGTAAGACAAAATTCAGGGGACACAACACAAATATTTTTAGAAGAATTACCATCACCTAAAAAAAAAAAAATCATTTTTCCTGAAAATAATATGACATGGAATTAATTTTTATTGAAAATGTATACTTTATACTATTTGTTCCTTGGTTTATTACAATAATACAAATCGTAACAGCCATGCATACTGGAACAGTAGCTCGCACCAATTAAAAAAAAAAAACAAAACTTTCTTCATGTGACATTTTAAGAACTGTCTGTATTTTAAAAGTCTTAAGATATATTAACCAAAAGGCTCCGTTATCATGATTTTAACATTACCTCTAGACTAACTTTCATATTTCAAAGCAGCACATTTGCCTTGGCACTTTCATGAAAACCTTAAACACTCATTTTTATTTTTACTAAATATTTGCTTTTTAAATTATATACTGTCTTATTTTAAAACTTACTCAAATGCTAAACTCTAAGATCATCTTCAAAACAGACTGTCAAAGTAAGATTTTTACATGATAGCACATAAAAATTTCAACAACCTGATGATAAACCATACTACTCTTGATTAAGTCATATTACTTATCTGTAATGGGGGCGGGAATATTACTTTAGGAAATTGAATGACCTCCCTTTAAAAAAAAAACAACAACACAAAACATTTAAAAATATTATATTATTCTTAAAGCAAGATGGCGTGGTGAAAAAACGCCTGCAAATTTAGATGTTTTATCCTACCCCAAGAGACATGACTTCTTTTACAACACTAAAAAAGCGTACAGAGTTTCTAGTGAAAAAAAAGTTTATAACCCTGAGCTGCAAACAGCTCAGGAAAATCTCAAAAAAAAAAAAAATCAATGAGTTGAAGTCATGCAGACAGCTGATTACAAATAAATTCTGACAGGTGATCGTTAAAAGCCTGGCTCATAAACAGGCTCCTTTGAAAAAAAGAATGAGGACAGATTATCTGCTTTTAATTTTATGCGTGCATATGCGACAGAAAATGCTGTAGCATATACGCACTATTTTTAAAAACCGGCTCAGAAAAAGCAAAGGTTTTTTTTATAGTCTGCTCTTGCCAACTCCAAATATATTTTAACTTGGGAAGCCCTTATAAGTTATTAGATCACTATGAAATGCCTTGAAACTGAAATACAAAACAAAGTCAAATCCACATAAAGTAAAAGTAAGTAAATCAAATCCACGACTAAACACACACTTCTGACTTGGGGCCAAGGAGTCTGTTGACAGGTTTGGGGTGTTTTGGGGGGTGTTTTATTTCTTTTTAATGAGAAAAGAATGTTGCAGACTTGTAAGACTTTCCTATTTCATCCTGCTCCACAACTTTTGTCCTTCTATTTATTTATTTCGCCTCCTTATCAGATGATTCTGACAATGACTTCGCACGCTGAGCATGGCAAACGATCAAGCAGAAGGGAGAGGAGTGGTTTCCTGCTCCTAAGAGCACACTTTGCTCTAGCAAACCTTGTGTGAGCAGAAGAGCACAGTAAGTCAGTCACCCTTCGTCTTTTTATTATTTTTTTTTTTTTTAAGAAAAAAAGGCAAAGCTCCATGTTTTCCAAACTTCAATGTTGACACTATTCCACTGACAGTGATCTCAGCCATGCTGGTGTCAAGCCAGAGCAGTTATTCTGGATTCATACCAGTGTCTCTAAAGGGATGATTTCAAGTGCTAATAAACTAATAGAAGACTTCCACTGACATCAAAGGGGTTCGAATCATGCATTACAATCAGAACTTGGGACTCCATGATGTTTTCTTTGCCTACAACTTAAGGTGACTATAGACGTAATTTATCAACTCAGGTCAGTTATATTCAGTTTATGTTAATTTAAGTATGATTACAATGCAGCTCCAAAATATAGTTCCTGCCCCATGTACTGTGGCAAATTTTACTTTGCTCAATCAAGAATAAGTTTATGGCCAAAATTTCAAACAGGAAATATTGTCTTTAAGTTTCAACTTCAACATAATCGCTCACTCCTGTGTTCTCACATGAACTATTGGCCAGCAGAATGTTCTCTTTCACGGTCCTTCCTTTTCCCTGTTCATTTAACACCACGGCATCTATGTATTACTGTTCTGTTTGTTGTCTTTTTACTTGCTAATAGCTAGGCTACCAACAAAGAAAAGAAGATAGACAACTTTCCTTGGAATTCCCACAGTTTCTTTACATAATTTAAACAAAAGTCCCTGCGGAGCAACTTAGCAATAACTATAGCTTCCTTTTTTTTTTTGAGTGAGTGAGTGAGTGAGTGACATGAATCATATCGGCCCTCTCTAAGATGCCCGTCAACCAGACTGGGAGAAAGAGCAATATACACTGGGGAAGAGGGCTTATGCTAAAATCCATAGGAAGTTCTTAGGGCTGATTTACCTGGTCTGACTGGGCTCTGCATGCAGTTCTGCGACACCATGCCTGGATGGACTGAAGTAGAAGCCCTGCTGCTGAGGTCCATGACAGAAGGTGATGCTGAGGTAGCTTGCTGGAGACCTGACTGGTGTGGGCTATGCTCATGCTGGTTTGGGCTGGGTGGAATGCCATTTTCCGAGAGGAATTCTTCCAGGTCCATGTATTCCAACTGGAAAGTGTCTCCATCATATGGCAGTGTCTTGTCCCATAGTGTTGGACCCAAGAAAGCTGACTGAGGGACTGTGGTACTGGTGCTGTCATCGTCTAACTTCTTCTCTTTGTCTTTTTCTTTACCGAATGCTTAAACAAAACACACAATAAAGATATAAGAGCTGAGCAATTAAAACATCAAGTACTACTGCTTCAACTATTTCTCCTGCTCTCTCAGTTGCAAGAAATGAATACTCCCCTCATAAAAATAACCTTTTGATACTGCCCATTTGGTAAAGAATTGAAGGGTCATGCCAAATGAGCACCTTACCTGGATCCAACCGTGGTTTTGAGATTTTCCCCTATTTTTAGTTAACTATTCCACTGCACACATGGCTTTGAATGTCAGCTTCAGTTAAGTACTTAACAGACTTAAAAGTGAGCATTTAAGTGGAAGCAAACTGGAATATGTATTCTGTTGAGAACAGCCCTAACCTAACATTCCTGTCGTTTATTATCCTCTCATAAAGTCCCAGTCTCACTAGCCTTTACACAAGGAAAGTGGTCCTCACATTCAGTACTTCTTAACACTGTTGTAAGCTAGTAACTTATAACAGTGAAGTCTAACAGAATATGTATTTTGATGTACAGAAGAGTCAATTAAAAATTCAAAGATAGAAGCAAAGCAAAAACAGAAGTTAAAATGATGCTTCCTACTCACTCCTACAATATCCAGTGATTTCAACACACTTTTTTTAAGGGAAACACCTGATTTCTCTATAAGATTTGCAAGAATCTGAACCAATAAAGCTTGCTGTCAACTACCATGCCTTCTTTTCTTTTCAACTACACGCAACAACCCCTGTGAAATCCTGCCTGTCGCTTCGCAATAAAACAGAAAGCAGAGGATGCAAAAAGTCTTGGCTCGGCAAGACCTTTCCCAGGTTTTGGGGGGTTTTGCGTGCATTTGATTCATTAGAAATCCAAGGTGCGATTACGCCCGCGCTACCTTAGCTTTCCAGAAAAGTTGAAACTTTCTACTGTTTAAACGCCCCTCGGTGACAGCGGCCCGGGCTCAGGGAGGCCGGTTCGGGAGCAGCGGCCGCCCCGGGGGGAGGCTGCGGCGGGACGCCGGCTCAGGCTGGGGGGGTTCCCCGCCGCCCCCCTCTACCCAACGCTTCGCCCCAGGCACATCGCGCTATTTAATTTATTTTT